CTCTTTTATAGGGAAAATATGGTATATAAACTTGGGTTCATTGTTCCATGTCAGGGACGTGATTATTAAAAGCGGTGTTATTTCTATTTTGGCGAGCGAGCGTAGCGAGCGAGCAAAAAAAATCACTTCTCTTTTATAGGGAAAATATGGTATATAAACTTGGGTTCATTGTTCCATGTCAGGGACGTGATTATTAAAAGCGGTGTTATTTCTATTTTGGCGAGCGAGCGTAGCGAGCGAGCAACATTTTTGTAATGATAATTGGTTCATAAATTTCAGATTTTTTTGTTGCAGGGCAGGGCTTACACAATCATGTCTAAGGTGATGTTAATTCCGTTTTGGCGAGCACGAGCACACCAAAACTTCTTTGAATAACGTTTGGTACATAATTATTAACTAGTTGTTGCAGGTTGGGGCGGGCACGTTTGGCGACCGAGCATAGCGAGCAAAAAAAAAAAAAAAAAAAATTCTCTTTTAATAGAAATTAATAAATAAACTTGTTTTTATTGGTGCAGGTCAGGATGGACGCAATCGCGTTTAACGCCATTCAATTCCTTTTTGGCGAGAGGGCGAAAAAACTCTTCCATTTTTAATGATATTGTTGCAGGTCAAGGGTGGGCACAATTGTTTCCAAAGCAATGTCTATTCATTTTATTTGTGAGCGAGTGTAGCGAGCGAGAAAAATGAATTAGTCTCTTTTAGTAACATTTGGTACATATATTGTGTGTTATTGTTACCATGGTTGCAGGTCGGGGCCCGTCGGGGCAGGCACAATTGTATTCTAGGCAATACTAATCCTTTTCTTTTTTCAGGGGGACGAGCAAGTGAAAACATTTAATACAAAATAGGCTAGCAAGCACTTCGCGCCAGCGAAGAGTTTCGAATTTGTTATATCACTTATATTGTCCTATTTTCATTTGTTTTAATTTTTCAGGGCCGTATGCGGAATATTTTTCTGGTGGGGGAGGGGGAAAGATGCGTTAAAAGTTTTCGAAGAATCTCAAAAGCAAAAGGAGTGAAGGGAGTTCGAGCGACCGAACTGGTCATGAGGGTACTTTTGCATTTTCAAAAGTAGAATTGAAGGATTTGGTATAGGCCTACACTACATTTTCAGGAAAAAAACTGTACGTTTTCAAAATATCTGGGGTCAACTGCCCCCCCCCCCTGGTGCGTACGGCCATGGTCTTTTTTTTTTTAATTTCCCCATTTTTATTCCTTTCCTTTTCTTCTCCCTTTTTCTTCCTTTTCTCTTCTTCTTCCTTTTTTCTTTCCTTTTTTTCCTTTTTTCTCTTTCTTTCCTTTTTTCTTCCCTTTTCCTTTTTTCTTTTTCTTTCCTTTCCTTTCTTTTCTTTTCTTTCCCCTTTTTCTTTTTTCCCCTGGAGCCCGTCAGGGGGGGGGGGGGGGGGCACTCTGCCCCCCGCCCCCCCCCCCCATAGGTACGCCAGTGATGGATACACAAGTGTATTTCCGGACTCCCCTAAACAAGTATTGTCTGTGAGCAAAATTTGATGATAATGATTGATTGATTCAAATTTATTTCATTTCATATTAATTCTTTGCACAATAAAGAACATTTTTGACAAAGTAAATTATGAAATGAAACAGGAACCTACTAAAGAGCATACCTAGTTGTTGTAGGTTCCCAAGAGTAATTATTGTTTTCATGAATCATTTTAAAGTGTCTTAATAATCCCAGTAAAATAGATATAATTTAATAACATATTTTTATAAACCATTTTATAGAGTCTAATTAAACGAAAGAATGACAAAACGGAACACAAAGGACAGGAACTGACATAATAAGATAAGACAGAACATGACAAAACAATTCGCAAAAGGACAAGATAAAACAACAGAAATTAGAAGAAGACGGATAGAGATAATAATGATAATATCAATAGGAATAGTTATAATAATTATTATAATCATAAGATCAGTATAATTTATTCTTGATATTATTATCATTATTATATCATTTCCCTTATCATGTTCCATGAGATTTTATAGTGAAGTAGAATTGAGAAGTAATGTGACCCTCTATAAGTAAAAACATTTTCAGTAAAGCAAGGGGAAAAGACGATTTGAGTGTCCCCTCGAATAGGATGTAAAGCTTAGTTCACATTGTACTTGATTAGAAGTTAGGTTATCATATTGTCCCTCACATAACAAAAAGAGGAGTTGAAAGCAACGAATGGTTGAAAGACACCTTTTGTCTATTTTCAATTTTTAGACTCAAGAGGGCGACAAACATAATTAAAAACTTAAAATTATGATAACTCATTAATGTGCAAAAATTAAAATTCCCCAAAAATATATGTTGTTAAGGGGGTAATACTACTTCATCAGATGAACGGAAACGAAATCCCTAGATGGTGGTTACGTAATACTTTATCAAAACTTCAATAGCCTGTTGTCTAAGAGGCCTTTTCGTGAAAACGGAAAAGGCGAGACCTCACACACAAAAACCGGCCGCGCACTCATTTAGGCCACTTCGTGAAAACGACGCGTATATTGAATGCGCATATTTTCGTTTTCACGAACCGTTCCCACAGTTTGTTACATTATTCCCACTTGATTATACATTTTTTGTAAACAAAATAAATATGAGCAGAATCGTTAGAATCTGTACAATGTGGTTGACAATGGAAATCTTTGAAGATGCACCCCCGTTTTAATAACATGAAATGTTAAAAGGCGTTTATCTCGAAATTCACTTTTGTCGCTGCGCGGGCTACGAGGCCACTTAGTGAAAACGGTGACGATATAGTGACGTCATTAAAACATCCGTTATTTTTCCGGCGAATCTCCCGTATATCCAAGCTGCTATGCAGGTGGTTGTATTTGTATTTTTATAAATCACCCGATATGTAGTTGACCTAAAACTTGTACGATGGCCATCTGCTAGCTTACCAGTTTCTAGTCATACATTAGTTGACATATTTGTTATTTTCTTTGAATTTCACCTTTAAATGAAGGTGAGAATTTTAAAAGAAAGGCAAGATATAAAAAAAAAAAGTAAAACGAACATCATGGACAGAGCCTGTGTTTTGAAAGCCGTACATCAAATAACCCATCCCAGTTTCAGAAAAATTACGCGCATATAATACCACTTTAAACCTATTTCCTATGAGAATGCCAGTTTTACGGATAAAACCCAGTCACACGACCAAAACCAAACGGGTACGAAGGTACGTTTACAAAAAAGGATTATTGCACAGGGAACGTTCAATCAGGGCCATCCAAGATTTGGCAGTTCAAGGGGAAGAAAATGGCCCGAATTCACAAAGGAGGTTTGTCGACAAATCGAGGTTTATGTACGTCATATGACGCGTTTTGACGATTTTTTTTTTACAAACCTGGTTTGTAAAAAAACGCGTCGAAACGCGTCATATGACACACGAAAACCAACATGGTGTCTTAACAAAGTAAATGGAGGAAACCATTTCATATTTTAGTTACTGGTGGTGCTGGAACTGGAACGAGTCATTTAGTAAAATGCATCATTTAGTAAAATGCACCAAACCGGGCATGGTGGCTCAGTCGTTAGAGCTTATGGCTTTGAGGAAAAGGAAGGAGAAAATACCGACGAAGTGCTTAAGAATTTCTGCAAAGACAAACTTGGAGTATACATAGAAAACAGCGACATCGACAGGTCCCATCGACTCGGAACGCAGAAGCAAGACAAGAAGCGTGGAATAATCATGAAATTTTCTAACTACAATACGCGTAATGTCGTTTACCAGAGTCGGAGTAAGCTACGTAGATTAAAGGCCCCGCCATTTTATTACATCCAAGAAAATTTGACTAAGGCAAGGTCTGACCTCTTCTGGAAAGTCAAGAAAAACTACAAGGATCGTCTTAAAAGTATATGGACCCAAGATGGACGAATAAAAGTAATCACGGCTGACGATAGGCGAATTACTCTGACGAGGGTGAGTCATATCGAGAAAATCTAAGTCATACTTTCGACGTCTTAAATGTATGTAAATCGAACCTGATCCCATTCTTTGTGTCATTGCTACATACTACCCATATATACCCGGCTCATCTATTTATTATTATTCGTGTTTACTCAGTATTATATCATTTTTTGGTTCTACAATGATTAGCTGACTATTTTGTGTTATTGCTTATTTTATAATAACTCATGTATATTTTCTATATTCATGAATTTGTAATATTTTCTTACATTCAAGAAAATGGCGATCTTCTCTGATTTAGACGTATAAGTGATCATTGTCGTTGATCCCACTGATGTCAGTATTGGGCTGAATAACTTTTTTAGTGTATGTGTACCATCTCACAATACCTTATTCATTATACAACGAGAAGGTTCTTCTCAGGGTGAATTGCTCAGTGGTATAACAAGAAAGAAGATTTGGGAGTTGCTACTCCACGCCCAAAATGTCTATGCGGATTAACTGCTTTTTATGTACTCCTTTTGCATATTGAAACTAATCGCTATACAGTGATGTTCAACTATTGGTCATTGCCACTGACTGCATAGACTCAGATTGTAATAGTAGTTCTCTACTTCGTATAACTCTCTCATACTCTATATACTCTATATATAATGAGTAGACTATTTTGTCATGTTGCTCTTTTGTATTATATGACCCTGGATTCTAGGAGTATTCATGGTCCACTCTGGTGCTTCTGGTTCTGTGGAGTACAGGATGACGTTTTGCTTGAAGCCGATGCTTGTGATGTCAGGGGCGTCGCTTTGTAGAAAGTGTATGGATTAGGTCGCTTGAGGGCGTACTGGATTTTGTGTGTTACTGATTTTACACGTCATGGGATAGTTGCCTCCCAGAGTTGCCTAAGTTTTCGTTTAATTTTGTGATACAAGCCCAATGATATTGAACCTTGCCTGCTACAGTGTATAACCAAATTACAGTGCATGGTGTCTTTACTATGGGTCCTGGGCAACTGGGTTGATTCGCCAAATCGTACATCACAACAGTTCAATATCAACTTGTGTGACTGTCATATCCTCCATCATGAGCGTAACCGGCATGGATATGAGCACAGATCCAGAGGTTACCTTCAAGGACCACAAGTCGGACAGTATTAGACCTGAGGACTCAGCTAGCCAAAGAGGGAGTAGCACCACCTCGGCGAGTTGGAGGATACGGGCGAAGGCTAAGAGAGCTGCCTTAGCCACAGAGGTTGCAGCTCTTAAGGAGCAGCAAGAGCTCGAGATTCAGGAAATAAAGCTAAAACAACGGAAAGCTGAGCTTCTTCTGAAGACTAGATTGAAGATAGCGGAGGCGGAAGAAACTGTGTGCAAATTAGGTACTCGGTCCAATGTTCAGTCTAACATCAAGAGTGAGAGTGTACCTGTTAGAAGCACTGAATCCATAGAACAGAAGACTGAGCCTTCCAAGTTTGAACCTTCCCAACAAGGTTCATCAACTCCTGCTAGAATGAAGCCAGCAAGTGAAAACCAGATACTGACCAGTCAAGATGATAAGATAACTGGAAAGATGGACTCTGACATCTTACATCATCTACAGCAAGGACAGAGACAACATCAACAGCTGTTGGAAGCCATCACAATTTCAAGTGCCAACATTATGTCTTTTGATGGTAACCCATTGGATTTCTTTGAGTTCATACGATCATTTGATAGTGTCATCGGAAATTCATCATTGGACAATAACGCCAAGCTGCTCAAGTTGTATCATCTTTGTACTGGAGCTGCCAAAGACATAATCCAATGTTGTCTCATGATGCATCAAGATGATGGGTACTTTCATGCCAGAACGCTTCTGATGGATCGCTTTGGAAGTGACCATAAGATCAGTAACGCCTGGATAAGGAAGGTCACGGAAGGTCCAGTTATTCAGAGCAATCCTAAACATCTGAGGGATTTTGCTGATCAGCTAAAGACCTGTGCTGAAACTTTGATGGCCCTTGGGATGCTTCACGAGATGAGCAGCAGAAGTGAGTTGGTGAAAGTCATTGAACGTTTGCCATTCCATCTGAAGAGCCGGTGGTTGCGTTTCGTAAAGACCATCAGGGATAGTGGCAGACAGCCCAACATCCAGCATGCAGTTGAATTCATCACCGGCGCAGCTGATGAACTCAATGATCCTGTATTTGGAGCCTTACTTATGGGTGGACCAAAGAATCTAGGAAATGCAAGGATTGTTAAGGAAAGAACTGTGTCAGGTAGAGGTCAGGCAAGCATGTTTACTACCTCTGTGAATTCATCGACCAAGAACTGCATCATGTGTCAGGACATATAATACCTATAATTATCATTAATGAATTGTTTTTCTTTTGTGTAATCTTATATTCAGTTAATGTATTCCCATGTTTTTGTTTAATTTATTTTGTAGTTGATTTTTATTATTATCTAAACCATGCATATATTGTGTTAAATGTTTAATAATCCGATATTGTACAGTTCTAATTGTAATTTGTGTAATTTTTTAATGTGCTGTTTTTATAATCAGGGCTCTGTGGAAGACCAGGTTTTTATTTTTGTATACTGAACAGACTACCCTGAATAAAGAAGTGAAATAAATAAATAAATAAATAAAAGACAGCCATGACCTTTTCGGTTGCCAGGAATTTAAAGCCATGGAGCCTGATGAACGCTTTGATTTTGCCTTCAAGAACAGGCTTTGTTTCAATTTGCTTGTTACCTGGTCATGTATCCTCAAAGTGCATCCTTAATAGGACCTGCTCAGTCAAGGGGTGCAATCAAAGGCATACCAAGTTCCTCCATACCGGGAGAAGGATGAGACCATCTTCAGGAAATCCTACACCTTGGAGAACAAGAAGGGAATCGAATGACTCATCAACTCAAACTGACTATGATGTAGCATCTCATGCTAGTACCAATGCCACGAGGGCCGGAGGTTGCAGAGTAGCCCTTCCAATAATTCCGGTTACTGTCAGTGCTGCAGATGGTGGAGAAAGCATTGAGACCTTAGCTTTGCTGGACCCTGGATCTACGAACTCATTCTGTCTGCAAGAATTAATAGATGTGCTCCAGACAAAGGGGAAAAAGAAAGTCATTCAGGTCTCAACACTGGAAAGCCCTAAAAGAGCAATGGAATGTGAAGCTGTCAAGTTGAGGATTAAAGGTTCCACAGCAGACAAGAAGATAGAGGCTGAATTTCTAACTCGTCCGAGCCTTAACATCAGTACTGCAAACATGGCCAGGGAGGAAGATATTTCGAAATATCAACATCTTTGTGGCATTGATCTTCCAGTCACGGGGAAGAACCAAGTAACCATACTGATTGGACAAGATGTGCCTGAAGCCCTGATGCCACTTGAAATCAAAGCAGGTAAACCTGGTGAAGTTTATGCTGTCAAGACAATACTTGGATGGACGTTAAATGGTCCACTTGGAAATGGAAGTAGTTTACAGAGTTTTCAAGCCTCGTCTAGCTTCATCTCTGATGATGGTAACATGCTCCTGGAAGAACAAATTCACAAATTTTGGAAGCTAGAAGGGACAGAATACCTTCATGATAATAAAAGGAGCATGTCCATCAATGATCAGAAAGCCTTGAAGACCTGGCAGGAAGGAGTTTGCAGAGATGGTGATCTCTATCAACTTCCCATTCCATTTCGGAAGAGGCCTGAAGATCTGCCGAATAACATCTAAGTTGCACTAACCAGACTAGAGTCACTGAAGAGAAGACTGGTAAAGGATGATTGTCTACATGCTAAGTACAGTGAAGGAATGAGGTCTTTGTTGGATGAAGGGTATGCTGAAGAGGTTAAGGACCAGGATCTTGGGAAGGATGAAGGAGTCTGGTACTTACCGCATCACCCGGTATTCAATCCAAATAAACCAGAAAAGACAAGAATTGTCTTCGATTGTGCTTCCAAGTACAATGGAACTTCTTTGAACGATGCGGTACTTCAAGGTCCAGACTTGACGAACAACCTTCTTGGTGTTTTGCTCAGATTTCGCCAAGAACCTATAGCCATTATGGGAGACATAAGGGCAATGTTTCACCAAGTTAGAGTCCCACCAGAGCAGAGAGACTTTCTTCGCTTCCTGTGGTGGCCAGAAGGAGATCTTATCCAACATCCTAAGGCTTACAGGATGTGTGTTCACCTATTCGGTGGGACATGGAGCCCAAGTGTTTGTAGTTTTGCCCTTAGACATACAGCTGAAGAATTCAAGACCGAATATTCTCCAGAAGCAGTGGATGCTGTCGGTCGTAACTTCTATGTAGATGACTGTCTCGTTTCATGCAAAACAGAAGATGATGCAATCAAGCTTGTAGCTGAACTCATGACGCTGCTCAAGAGGGGTGGATTCGAAGTGACCAAGTGGATAAGCAACAGCCCAGCTGTGATCAAGTCTGTGCCTTTGGAAGATCGAGCTAAAAATATTGTGGGACTCGATTTGAATCGGGATGCCTTACCAGCAGAAAGGGCACTTGGAGTAACATGGGATGTAGAACTGGACTGCATCACCTATAAGATCACCCCCAAGGGCAAACCAGTAACGAGGAGGGGAATTCTGAGTGAGATAGCATCAATATATGACCCCTATGGATATGCCAGTCCATTCGTCTTGGTTGCCAAGAGAATCCTCCAGGATCTAACTGCTCTGAAGCTTGGATTTGATGACCCAGTTCCAGATGAACACCATTCCAGGTGGCTAAAATGGAAAGAATGGCTTCCCTTAATGAGCAACTTCAGAGTGAGCAGGTGTTTCAGACCCTTTGATGATGTGAACGAGTACCAACTGCATCATTTCTGTGATGAATCTGAGTCGGCGTACGGTGTAGTGTCTTACCTGCGCATGACCAGTGAAGGAGGACAAGTCCATTGCAACATAATTCTGGCTGAAGCAAAATTAGCACCTCTGAAGAAGATGACAATACCTCGCTTAGAGCTCATGGCGGCAGCACTTGCAGTCACAATGGATAGAAAGATCAGAAAGGAGCTGGACTTTCCCTTGAATGAGTCTGTCTTTTGGACAGATAGCACAATAGTCCTCCATTACATCCGCAGTGACAACAAGCGCTTTCGGACATTTGTGGCTAACAGGATATCTACCATCCGTGATGCCTCGGAGCCCAGGCAGTGGAGATATGTCAACACAGAAAAGAATCCAGCTGATGATGTATCAAGAGGTGTAACACCAGACAAGCTCAATGGCAGATGGCTCAAGGGACCATCCTTCCTATGTGCTGATGAGATGGAATGGCCTATCTCTCCTGCTGATCTGCAAGTGCCACCAAGTGATCCAGAAATCAAACCACCTACAGAAAATGCCAGTGCATTCACAACTCAGTCAGAGGAGAAGTCATTGGAAAGGCTTATCAACACATATTCCTCCTGGTATAAGCTGAGGAGGGGAGTGAGCTGGCTATTGAAGTTCAGGCAGTGGTTGAAACTCAAAGGAAAAACCCAGACAGAGCAAGAGCTGAGGGACTTCAAAAGGATCAGTTACGACGACATGCAGAAAGCAGAGAAGAGAATTTTGCATTACGTGCAAAAGTGTTTCTTCCAGAAGGAGATTGAATCATTGACTGATTCAGATGGTAAAGTGACAAAGACAAGTCAACTCTACAAGCTGGACCCTAAGATAGACGAGGGTCTTGTTAGAGTTGGAGGAAGATTAGAGAGATCAGCTCTACCATTAGAAGCTAAACACCCAGTCGTCTTACCCAAGGGAAGTCACGTGTCAGATCTGATCTTGAGAGATGTTCATGTAAAGGCAGGGCATAGTGGAAGAAATTATGTCCTTTCTGTGCTCCGTGAGAAGTATTGGATGCTTGGAGCAGGAGCAGCTATCAGGAGCATGATTAGCAGATGTGTCATGTGCAGGCGGCAAAGAGGGAAGATGATGAGTCAGAAGATGGCTAACCTGCCTGAGAATAGACTGTTACCTGACGAGCCTCCATTTTCCAAGGTTGGCATTGACTATTTCGGCCCCTTTGAGGTTAAAAGGGGTCGCAGCATGGAGAAGAGATATGGAGTCATGTTTACATGTCTTACCACACGCGCCATTCATTTGGAAGTCGCTCATTCTTTGGATACGGACTCTTGTATCAGTGCCATTCGTCGTTTCATCGCTCGCAGGGGCAATATCAAGGAGATGCTCTCAGATAATGGCACTAATCTTGTGGGCGCTGAGAGAGAGCTGAAAAGAGAAATAGATGGATGGAACAAAGCTCAAATCAGCGCAGACCTGCTCCAGAAAGGCATCAAATGGACTTTCAACCCACCCACTGCTTCCCATTTTGGAGGAGTCTGGGAAAGGCAGATTGGGACTGTGAGAAAGCTCATACTGGCAGTAACTAAGCAACAGGTGCTCTCAGGTGAAAGTCTGACAACTCTCTTCTGCGAAATTGAGAGCATCGTCAACAACAGGCCTCTAACAAGTGTATCAGATGATGTCAATGATCTTGAGGCCTTGACTCCCAATCACCTACTTCTGCTGAACAGGAAGCCGCAACTGCCACCAACAGTGACGGACAGATCAGATATATACTCGAGAAGGAGGTGGCGTCAAATACAGTATCTCGCCGACGTATTATGGAGGCGCTGGTCTAGAGAGTACTTACCGCAGTTGCAAAGAAGAGAAAGATGGGTACCATCGCATCGCAATCTTCAGATTGGTGACTTGGTGCTGGTTGCCGATGCACACACTCCGCGGAATTCCTGGCTGCTGGGAAGAGTACTTCAAACTTTCCCAGACAAGAAAGGCTTCACCCGTAGTGCGAACATCAAGACAAAGAATAGCGTAATTGTTCGTCCTATCTCGAAATTGTGCCTGATTTTGGAAGGAGATTGTTAATTGCCCTCATTTGGAATTCATGGATCACGTGATGTTTAATCATATAAGAAAGAGAAATTTTTGAGATATATAAATTTCATGATCAAGGAGAATTTGTGTCTCAGAGGATGTCGTCGCAGAGATATGATCATATGAAGATCGTTTGTCAGTGATTTTTGATTGGAAATCAGAAGGATCCAATTAGTGCAGAAATGTTATTATCCCGAAATGTGTCGTCATGATATCGCCAACATTTATTTTACATGAAAGTGTCAAAATGTGACAATTTGTATTCAACGCGAGGATAGAATTTTTGTTGAGTTATGAATCGTCTAGTGATCTGGAACTCTCCGACGATTCAGATTTAGTCGCCATAGCAACTCAACAGTAACTGATAACTGAGAATTGAGAAACTGAACGGCTCACAAGAAGAAGACATAAACTGATACATTTATAGAAAAATGACTGTCTGCAATTCAAAGACTC